CATGGATTTTTCCAAGCCTGTAGACTTTACCTTACACATTAGCCGTGCATGGGGAACTGTGTCAAATGCTTTTGCAAAATACAAGTATACCACGTCCACCGCCACCCCTCTGTCCAAGGTTTTGCTCACCTCCTTATAAAAAGAAATCAGATTTGTTTTACAACTTCTGTCCTTCATGAATCCATGCTGTCTGTTGCTTAAAATATATTTTTCCAGCAAGAACTCCTCTATGTGGTCTTTCATTAAACTCCCCAGTATCTTCCCATCTATAGAAGTTAAACTAACAGGTCTATAATTACTTGGTAAAGAGTTTGACCCCTTTTTAAATATTGGCACCACATTGGCCTTACGCCAATCCAGTGGTACTATGCCAGTCACTAAAGAGTCCCTGAAATTAGAAACAATGGCTTTGAAATGAAAGAGCTCAATTCTTTAAGGACCCGTGTGTATATGTCATCCGGTCCAGGTGCTTTATTCACCTTTATTCTGTCTAAATATTTTGGATCATATCAGTTGTGAGCCAATATGGATCATCTGGGGCTGTGTCAATATCATGCCCATTATGGACAAGAGCTCCCCCATGCTCCTTTCTACACACAGAGCTGAAGAAGGTATTTAAAAAATGTGCGTTCTCTTTGTCCCTAGAGCCTACATGCTCGGACCGGACCTTTTTACTATTAATATATTTGAAAAATGTTTTGGGCTTGGTCCTGCTATCTTTTGCAATCTGGCATTCGTTTTCAATTTTTGTGGCCTTTAGTTACTTTTGCATATTCTGTAATATTCATTGTAATGTTTAAACGATGATAGTGTTCCTTCATTTTTACATTTAATAAAAAGCTTTTTTCTTATTATCTATAGCTTTTCTAACTTTGGCCGTAAGCCACATAGGTTTGATTTTTAGCCTTTTAAACTTGTTGCCCATGGGAATCTATTTTGCAGTGTGTTCACATACAGACTTTTTGAAGAACTCCCATTTCTGTGTTGTGCTCATTGATGCCAATATTCCTCCCAGTCTAAGTCTTGGAGAGCTTCTCTCAGCCTTGGAAAATTAGCGCTCTTAAAATTGAGAATTTTTATTTTTCCCGTATGTGCTTGCTGTTTACAGCTAACAATAAATGAAATCATGTTATGGTCACTGCTACGCAGATGTTCTTTTATATGGACATTTGTAATAGGCTCTGCATGGTTTTATATTACCAGGTCCAGCAGAGCATCATTCTTAGTTGGGGCCTCTATGATCTGTACCATAAAATTGTGCTGTAGTAGGTTTAAAAATGTTTGCCCTTTAACTGTTCCTGCAGTACCATTACTCCAGGCAATATCTGAGTAGTTAAAATCCCCCACTATTATCACTGTCCCAGTCCTTGCAGACATTTCGATCTGTGGAAGCTGAGTCTCCACCTCTTCATTAACACAGGGAGGCCTATAACAAACTTTGCAGTACGCACCCCCATGTGCAGTTCCACCCATAATGCTTCAGCCTCATCACACTCTCCATCAACTAGGTCCTCTTTCACACTCACTCGGAGATCACTTCTCACATAGAGACAGACACCACCACTTTTCCTATTTACCCTGTCTCTCTGAAAGAGAACATAGCCAGGAACATTAATGGCTAAGTCATGTGAACAATGAAGCCAAGATTCAGCAATCCCAATTAAATCATAGCTCTCTTTAAGCACCAAAGCTTCCAATTCACCTATTTTGCTTGGCAGACTTCTGGCATTGGTGAATAAACACTTTAATGAATTGACACCTTGTTTACACGTATTTTGCATATTTTTAATTTTCATACAAATGGTACCAAGTCCACTGGTTTGTTTGTAACATGGGAACCTTCTTATCTGCCATAGCACGCCCCCCCATCTTTAACCATTCCACCCACCAATGAGTCTGTCTACCCCGTCATAATCTATTTCTCCCTCCCCCCTCTATCCTAGTTTAAATACTCCTCCAGCCTTCCCATAAACCTCTCCCCCAGCACAGCAGACCCCCCTCCATTTAGGTGCAAACCATCTCTAGCATAAAGGTTGCACCCCAATGAAAAGTCAGCCCAGTGCTCTAGAAATCCAAATCCTTCCCTCTTACACCAAGTCTTTAGCCATGCATTTAGTTCTCTAATCTCCCCCTATCTTTCCTGAGTTGCGTATGGCACAGGTAATATTTCAGAGAATATCAGGTGCGGATTACAGGCTATTGACTTCTATGGGAACCGTTTCTAAATGGCATATGGGTGAACAGGATAAGATCCTGAGCTAATCCTGTCCTGAACCTGATATAAATCTGACATGAACCGCTGAACAACTACTGTGTCAATTACCTGTGAAACGTGAGCTTCAATCCGCACCGTACAGGTGTGAATCAGCTCTAAGTGTTGTCAGTCTGAAACAGGAAGTAATGTTACTGGCATGACTTCCAGCCAAGAAACTTTGCAGCCAATTTACAAATAACAATTTGCTTGAGAAAACTGCATACCGTGAGACTTAGCCCGGGTTTACACTATCAATTGCACAGGAATTCGCTATGCGTTCCTGTTCGATTTACATGTGATTCATTGCGATTCAATTTGAGACCATTCACACTAGCACACATTATAGTGTGAACCTATCCTCAATGGCAAGCATACTAATAAGCTTTTTATTTTAATGCTGTGTAGGAAAAGGTTAAAACCCCTATCTATGTAATATTTTCAGCTTGTGTCCCTGCTGGGAAGATTATCATTCACCTTCTGTCCTGGAGACACAAGAGGAAACCAGAGAAAATCCCCATCTAAAAAATCTGCCCCAGGAGATTTTCCCTCTCCTCTTGCTCATGTATCAACACAAAATTTTGGACTTCCCTCACTTTCTATCATGGTGATGATGGTCACCAAGAGAATGACCAGGCCAAATCTCCCCAGCGTGGACACAGAGAGCAATACAAAGTTGACAAATATCTAAAATTGCCTCTACATATTCTAATGATTAGAGCATGTTCTCTTGTAGAATAAATGTAAATTAATAACGGAGGGTTTTGCATTAAATATCTTTATGTAACCACTAGCTGGCGCTGTAAGAAGCCGAAAACCCAACACACGCATTAGCTACATTTCCCACAAAACTAGCCTGAAAATATTCTTTTATTTAGCTTCATTCCACACATATACAGTATTCTGCTCCTATATGGTAACATCTGAGCAAGCTGCAAACGAGGTTGGCACATTCTGTACTACGTTCCTGAAATGAACAGAGCCCTCGGGAGCGGAAGCTGTGACTTGTTTGGGAAGAATTTAATACGAATCCTCTGGCAATGCTGAATGGAATGCTCAGAAACCAGGATAAAGTTGTGACACTAGAGGACGTATTTACCAACATACTGTTGGAGTACAGCATATATCAGCCACTGGTTTTAAAGATCAACTGCGAGTAATACAAAATTGGCCACTATATTGTCCATGGACACGATGTATGTCTGCAACTTAAAGGAAATTGTTCTCAAAAGTTTGTTTTGATAGCTCATTTCAGCTTATCTGAAAAAATTTATGAATGTGTATTAATTAAAAAAAATAAATACGTTTGGAAAAAAAATCCTTGTTTCTATTCACAGTTTAGAATTCTTATTATATGTGTGCATATTTGCTTGTTTCATATAAATACTGTTCTTCCAGCTTAAAGTGGTTGTAAATGCTCAAGGTTTTTTACCTTCATGCATTCTATGCATGAAGGTAAAAAACTTTCTATGTGCAGCAGCACCCCAAAAATTACCTGAGCCCCTTCTCGATCCAGCGATGGGCAGAAGAGCTTTGGCTCCCCCAAGGTCTCACCCTCGTCATTGGCTGCTACAGGAGTGGTTGCCGTTGGCTCCCGCTACTGTCACTCTCCACCGAGCCGAAGAGGAGAGCAGGGGTAGGGCCAAGCCAAGCTTAGTGTGTGAATGAATGGACACATGGCACAGCGGCTCAGCAGTGAGTCTGGTCAGGTGCCCCTATAGCAAGCTGCTTGCTCTGGGGACACTAGGCTAGAGGGAAAGGCCAGGAGTGCAGACAGAGGACCTGAGAAGAGGAGGGTCGGGGCTGCTCTGTGCAAAAACCACTGCACAAAACAGGTAAGTAGAACATATGTAAAGAGGATCCTCCTGCGCTTAATGGAGCCTTAACCCTAAAGCTGCTAACCCCAACCTTATACCCAATAAGTAAAATGACAAAAACCCAATAAGTAAATCCGCTTTACTACCTCATGCTAAGGGTGTACTGCATGGGTATCTGCAAAAGGTGTTCCAATATGGCCACCACGGATCCCTCAAGTGTGGATTTCAGGGGGGATCGAGTGTGGTGCACTTATATTTATGCTTATCACTGTTTTTTGTATATATTTATTATTAGTTTATGATATAGCGCTACACTGTGTATTTTTGTTAGGTAAGTAGAACATGTTTGTTATATTTAAACAAAAAAAAATCCTGCCTTTAATATAATTTTAACACCGCTTAGACCTATAACAAGGAAACAACTTCATCTGTTAACTGAGAGACTACATCCCTACTTATTTGTTTGCCAACAAAGGCCTGAGGCCATTACTGATTTACAAGAGTTAAAGAAGAAAAGAGGATGTCACTTGGTAAACATGACTAACCTAATCAATCAGAAACTCTTTCGAATATTTATGGTAGCAAACAATATTTCCCCAGTTTGAATCAAGTCCTTAAGGATGTATTTCATTTATGAATATTTTATAAATAGTTAAAAAAAAATTTGTATAATCTTTATTGTGTTCAGAATATAGCGGGATAGCCACTTGATGTAGGACCTGAAAGCAAGTGGAGATCATTGTATTGGTGCCTACTTCAATGACTTCCGATTTCCAGGAACATTGACCAGGTATGGTATATAAACAGTTAAAATGGTTCAAGCTGGACCAATCAACTATGAATAAAATATCCATACCTGGAATTCATCCAGACCTCATAATGATTAACAATCCTAACTTTTTTTTTTTTTTTTTTTTTTTTTTTATACTTACTTCATCCATCTTCATACAGGTGCCAAAGTCAGCTAGCTTCACGTGTCCATGTTTATCCAGCAGCATGTTGTCAGGTTTGACGTCTCGGTGGATCAAACCCATGGAGTGAATGGCATCAAGGGCAAGGACCACTTCGGCAGTGTAGAATTTGGCCCACTTCTCAGGCACATCGTAGTTACTCATAAGGTTCACAAGATCACCACCTGGCATGTACTCCATCACCATGTAAAGGTACTTGTCATCTTGAAAGGCACAGAACAGCTGTAAATGAGCATATAAATGGGTTAAACATGATAAATGACCAACAGAATTATTACATGGGCCATCACGTGTCAGTGTGTTGGTTATCATAGAAATACAAAAGAGTGGTGGCAGAAAAAGACCAAATGGGCTCTCGAGTCCACCTCTGACATGTAAACTACAGGTCAGCTTTAAAATTATTACTATTAAAAAAAGAAAAAAAACAAGAACAATGACACTAAAGATTTACTTTAACAAAGCAACTTTTTACCTGAACTACCCAAGGGCTATTTGCAAAGGCCATGATATCTCTTTCTTCCCAAAAAAAAAGCAGAGTCCGATCTCTTGATCATTTCAAATTTACTAAGAAGTTTCATTGCATATACTTTCTGTGTAGTTTTGTGCCGGACCTGTTATGAAATGAAGAAGAAAAAACAGTTAAATAGCTCTATAAAGCATAACAAAAAATGGGTTTTGATAAATGGACTTCTGGGAAAAAGCTTTTGGAGACCCGAAGGGTCAGTCCCACCATAAATTAAAAAAAGATACTACCCCCTTTATCCAACGATTCTTGAAAGATTTCTGCTCCCCCCCAAATTTACACCACCAATGACTTTCCAACTGCAAAGCAGCTCCATTCTCACTGTAAAGTTTTATTTACACTACAGAAAATGTTGCAGGATGTGTGAAATGATAAGGTCTCATGCACACAGAGTGTTTTTGCAGCCACTTTTAGCCATTCCATATTATCCTATGTATTCATGCAAACAGACTTTTAGAAGCTTTTAGTGGCAAAGGCTTTCAGGAGCTGTAAAAAAAAACCCCACTGCCAGTGAGTCAAGGAGGAGAAGCGTTTTGGTAGATAAACCGCTTGACAAGTGTAAACACATCTAAAACATGTGTTAAAGCTAGGCACCTTTAGCGCTTTAGAATTCGTTTCAATGGGCAGAATAAATGATTATTCTGGCCAATGAAAGGACTTAACACCCAAGCACTTGACACCTGTAAACATGCCTAAACGTTTGTAAAAGCATTAGACACTTTTACAAGCATCAGGAGTTTTTTTCTGCCAAAGTCCACACTCACCCCTCCCCACAAGAAAAAAAAAAAAAAAAAAAAAAAAAAAAAAACACAATCAAGGAGGAGATCAAACCCTACCAAAAACAGCCAGCAGTGTTTAGAACCACCCCAGGGCTGACCCTTACCATCCCTTGTGAATGTAGCAGAAAAGAAAACTGTAATTCATTTTTTTTGTAAGTAACGTACTAGTTTTTAATTAATAGAATATTAAAAAGTAACATGTAATGCAAATTGGAATTATAATAGATTTAACAGGGAATTTACGAATAAAGTAATAAAACATCCTTAAATTAGTATAAAACTGAAAAAGTAACCATTTATAGTACTGCAGATTATCAATGTGATGGCTGCATTAGTTTTTTTCTTAGGCTTCCTTTCTTTTATTATCATCTGGAGATACAGATTGTTTTTTAACAGAACAATCTGTCCTGCTGATGTAGCAGTTACAAGGTTGACACAAACCATTTAACATTGACAGGGGTGCTTACAGTGATCAACTTTTATTCATGTAAAACCTTTATCCCAAAAAGGAAAAGAAAAACTGAAGCCAAACTCCAGCCCGCACTTTATAAGCAGTTACAGCAATTTGTTTAGTGTATCTGAATATGACACATCTATACTCCCCTCCCCCCAGATTAACAATGCTGCTCTCCAAAGGTGCCCCTGTGCTCCTTCATCCAGAGTGTAAGCACTCTAATACAGGAGGTGTGTTACTAGCCAGATCACCAGGTGAAAGAGGGGAAAAACTTAAAAATAAAACGAATGCAGTTACTACAGAGGGGAGCTGTGGGATCATGTGACCAGACCGGAGCAGATTAAAAATAGGTACACGTACAAATTTTTAAATTTCATTTTTAATTTTTGTTCTATGAAAGATGTGTCCAGAAACAAGGGTATAGCATGCTAAGCTTTTAAAGTTCACAGAGGGTTTCTTCCCTTTGGACATTCTGAGTAGCAAGCTGGTCACATAATCTCAATGCTTTAAAAGATAAGTTCACCTATTCATAATATGTTACACCCATATTCAGGGTGTAACATGTAACATGCTATGAATAGACTGGTCCCTGTTTTGACAGCTAGCGGCCCGCCTAGCCGTGTCACTCATTCAGAGTCCTCTGTGAATGGGAAACTACAAGTCCCGCCAGACTTAGCGACTGTCGGATAACTCAATGAACTATCACTGCGCTCCACAGCAGTAGTTCATTGAGTTTTTCCTGTCAGTATAGCTGCTTGCCTGTACATCCCATACAGGCATGCCGATATACTGACAGGTCTGCAGGAGACCTGCATGGCACCAGCGATCAGAAGATTGCTGGTGCAAACGGTTTTAAAGCCAGGGTCTCCAATTTTTTCTAAACAAAGGGCCAGTTAACGGTCTTTCAGACTTTGGGGGGGGGGGGGGGGTCGGACTGTGGGAAGTCAAAGAAGAAAATGTCCTGGCTTCACTGGGAGTAAACAACGCCCAATCTTTGTAATTAGGGGAGGAATCGTACCCCATCATGGTGTCAGTGGAAGGAATAGATCTCCATCATTGGTGTCAGTGGGAGGGATAGTGCCCCATCATTGGGTGTCAGTGGGAGGATTTGTGCCCCATCACTGGTGTCAGTGGGTGGAGTAGTGGCTTGTCATTGGTGTCAGTGGGAGCAACAGTGCCCCACCATTGGTGGTATTTGGAGGAATAGTGCCCCATAGTTGGTGTCATTGGGAGGAATTGTATCCCAGCACTGGTGTCAGTGAGAGGAACTGTGCTGTACTGTATGTGTAAGTGGAATGAATAGTGCCCAACTGCTGGTGTCAGTGGAAGGAATTGTGCCCCACTGTAGGTGTCAGCGAGAGAAATAGTGCCATGTCGTTGATGTCCTTGGGAGGAATAGTGATCCATTGTTAGTGATAGTGGGTGGAATTGTATACTATCATTCATGTAAATGGGAGGATTTGTGCTCCATTGTTGCGTTCAATGGCAGGAATAATGTCCCAATGTTGAAGTCAGTGGATGGAAATAGTGCCCCAAGGGCTGAATAGAAGCAAACAAAAGGCCACATCCAGCCCACGGGCCACAGTTTGGAGACCACTGGTTTACAGGCTTCTGCAAAAAAAAAAAATAATAAATGCACATATTTTTTACCTTAAAAAAAAAAAAAAAAAAGTGCATTTATTATTTTTTAGCAAACAGTGAACTTATCTTTTAACGGTTTGAATTTGAATTCAGGACAAACATATAAATACATATTTGAAATACATTTCTGTAAAATTATCTATAAACTGTCTGTCAGTCAGGGAGGGCTGGTTCAGATCTGTGTGTATCCAGTTCTAGAGTATTTTTTTTTTTTTTTTTTTTTTTAACATCCATTACTTTTGTCAACATCCAATGTTACAGACACTTTCTAATACAGTTACAAACACTTTTGTTTAGTTTCAGAACTGATCTGTCTTAATTTTTTTCTTTTTACAAGGTTTAAAAGTTCTATCATGTGACCATACATGTCTTCTTCCCAATATTAGGGGGCGGGGTTACAGGACACTGTGCAGACGTACATAGGAAGATGAAACAGGAAGGTGCTTCTAAGTGCAGTATTCCAAGATTAATTTTAAATAAAAGCAGTTAAAAACACTTACAGTGCAGAAGTATAAACAGGTTCATAAGTAATCCGTCAATTGCACGGCATTTCCTCAAAACAATGGAGCCGCTGTGCCGGACAGTAGCTGCAGGGGGAGCTTGAGAAGAGATGTCAAAGATGGGCGCCGCTCTATCCGGACCGCTGGAATGCACGCCGTCCACAGACCGGAATTGACGTGAGCATGGAGTGGTGACGCGTTTTGGAGCATGCACAGAGCTCCTTCTTCAAGACCGATCTTGAAGGAGTTCTGCGCATGCTCCGAAACGCGGGCCGACATGTGGTTTGCCCCATCCACCTGGAGCAACCATGCGAGTGCAAGGCCAGCCAGAAGAAGTGCATCTGTCACTGGCCCGGCAAGAAGGAGCTGCGGGCTGCACACCGACTGGACAAAGCTGACCAACTGTTTGCCCACCTTGGTGGATAAAAAGAAGGAGATCCAGACCCCTCAAGTGAGCAACCTTCCCCCGGTTTACCCCCATCTGAGGGTGTGACTGCTGGGGAGCACAAAGGTGACCCAGCTGTCCTTTGTGTCACATTGGAAACTTCATCCTCACCATTGCGGCAAGAAACTTTGCCAGCCAGTGAAAATACCCAGCACCCCCAGATTGTCCTCCTGTCAGTCCATGTCCATGTGACATGTGTCACCCCAGCATGGCCAGTTCTAGGGATCACCCTCATCAATGGGGCTACACAGAACCCTTCACATCCCTGCCATCCATGCAACAAAACCTTACGTGGACCTACTTATCTCTGCAGGATGGGGGGCTGTACTATATAGGGGGGCATAATAAGTCTACTCAGGATGGGGCTGTGGTATGCAATACTTCTATACAAGATATTTTTGGGGGTCATAAGTCTGTGTAGGATGGGGGATAGGATATATCTATACAGGATGGGGGTGCTGTGGTATATAGGGAGGTCATACTGTATGTCCATATAGGATGGGGTTCTGTGGTATATATGGGGTTGTGTGTCTATACAAGGAGAGAGAGAGAGAGAATGAATCTGCAGAGGTGAATACCCTGTATCGTGCACTTGAAAAGATACGCATCAGGGCTACATATGAGAAGGGATTTTGTTGTTGAAAATAAAGCTTTGTTAGTTTAAAAAAAAAAAAAGGCTCCTAACTTTTCTAACTGCCTCCTAGATTCAAAGCAAATTTGTCAAGCCTTGCTCTCACATATGTTGTTCCAGCAGCCAGTTTTGCCATCACCCATCCAGCAGTCCTGAACTCCAGGAGGTCTTTTTACAGCAATGCCCCCTACAGACGCTGATTCTGCTACTACCCGTCCTGAGCCTTATTGCCTGTGCTGCTGCCTGTGAAGATAAGTCCAGCTCCTATACAGCTTAGAAGTTGTATACTGCACACCGAGTTAGGTTCTGGGTGGCTGGCCAGCGGTGGAGGTAGATCTCTGTTTAGGCAGGGGAAAACAATGTGAACTGTCAGTAATAATCCTTGGCTGCTGCACAGTTGCTGCATATGGACAGCCAGGACAGGCAGCAACAGCGCAGCTATGGCGATATTTCCACCACTTGATAATATTGATAATCTTTAGAGAAACAAGAAGCAGTGGGTCTTTTTACATGGGTCACAGAGCTAGAAATG